TGGGAAGGAAAGGTAGGTATATTCACACTCCCTCAGGCCTGCATTAATGTTCAACCTACATCACTGCTAAATTCTTTTGACGGAAGATTAAGCATAGGGGGGCCACAGAGCACAGAGAACTAAGTACTGAATAAACACATTATGAATCAGGACAGACATGTGCAAAGTCACTAGGCGGCAAAGCTGACTTCTAACTTGACTGAAGGAATTAAAATAGCAAAAGAAAAATTTGTCAATCAGAAGGATTATCTATGAGCAATAGGTAAGACAAAATGACACTTGGAAAGACAAATTTCAACACTTAATTGGACTTAGGCAGTCTAAACATTCCAGTTTCCAAGAAAGTAATGCATGTCAAACATTCAACTACACTGGGTTATTTTTTTTTTTTTTTAATGTTAGCCTCCAGTGATACACAAGGTTAATTTGGGCACCTAGCTAAACTTCACCGTGGCTTAAACATAATTTCAGGGTATAAACCATATCTACTAAGGCACTTAACTTGACTCTGTATGCAGGGCTGGGCTCTGGCTCATTTCTGTGAGGCCCTCTCAGGTTGCAGACCCCTCCCCAGCAGTCTTCATCTTCCAGTAACTCCTCAGCTGCAGGCCCTGTGAAACTGTTCTGTCCTAATTTCTTGGCTTTTGACAAGAATAACTTATTCGTTCTTATCTCCTACTTCATATCACATTGACATAAATTTTTCTTTCAGTCTGTTTATCTTTCCTCTTTATTAATACATTCAGTGCTCTTTGTATACTTTCTACTAATTCTTATGTAAGACTTTTATGAATTTTGGGACTGGAGAGATGACTCAGTGGTTAAGAGCACTGACTGCTCTTACAAAGGACCTGGGTTCGATTCCCAGCAGTCACATGATGGCTAACAGTTGTCTGTAACTCCAGTTCCAGGGGATCTGGATGCCCTTTCTGACCTCCACAGCCATTGCATGACTCGGGTGCGCCTATCTACATGCAGGCATTACATTCATACAGAAAAAGAAAAATAATAAATAAAATATTAAAAAAGATCTTTATGAATCTTTCATTAGTTTTTCCAAAATTAATCCATAAAAGGAATCAAGAAGCATTCCTGTACCTCTTGATTGCCAGACACTCTCTCAACTGTCCAGTTCAAGGAGAAATCATGCTCTTGGATGCTTTGGGGAGGAAGAGTGAAAGGAGTAATTGTCCTTTGAGAGTTTTGGCATCTTTGTTACAGTACTTTTTTGTTTTTGTTCTGTTTGTCTGATTTGGGTATCAAAGTGAAATTTCTATAGATCATCATTACCTGGTTTGGTTTCCCATGCTCCTCAGTATTCTACTGCCCATGTGTTCCAAGAGAAGTCTCAGGAAGCCTACTTTAGCATTTCTTTTTAGTCCTCAAGACGGTTAATCTCAGTTGTCAGCCTGAGACCTAGAATCACCTAGGAGATAGGCATGTTTATGGCAGATTATCCTGTGTTAATTGAGGTTGGAAGACTCACTCACCTTGGGAAGCACTATTCCATGGATGGGATCTTGGACCATCTAACTGAAGAAAGGGAGCTGAGCAGCAGCAAGCATTAATTGCTCTCTACTTGTTGACTGTGGATGCAATGTGACCAGCTATCCTAAGTGTGACTTTCCTGCTCGGATGGACTATAACATGGAGCTGTGAGCCCAAATCCTTTTTCCTTTAAGTTGCTTTTAACTGGATATCTTATCACGGCATCAGGGTAAGAAACTAAGACAGCCCTCTACAGGTATACTCTGGAGAAATACAAAAGAGTCTTCAGTGTGAGCTTAGCAGTCTAGGGTGAAGAAGAAAAAGGTTGGGGGAAATTATACATGCCCTTTCTACACCAAGATATTCCTCAGTTAAGAGCTGTATGTGCCTAACACCAGTCACTTTAGTGAATCAGCTATTAGCAGTTGGGAGAACATGCAGGACCTCTCCCCAAATTGAGGCCACTTGTAATCTCAGTATTGATCATCTGTGTCCTTCCTCAACTGGGTAGAGGAATTATTTAGACAGTTGAGGGACTATGAATAAGGGGAGGAACGGTTGTTATCTTACCAACTTTCATTCCTCCAAATGCTCCCAGCTCTCTCAATATATATCCAAGAGAGTCCAGATTTTGATACAAGATTTTCTGGAATGCTTATTCATAATAAACATATTTGGATTAATATGCTTTTTATGGGCATTTCTTTGAACACAAAGTAACGTAGAGTCCACAGAAATCCTAGTACCTCCTTCCTAAAAAGGTGGGATTAAAGTAAGTGCATCCTACAGCACTTCCAGGAGAGCTCAAAGGCTATCTCTTTGTTTTCTTCTCACCAAACAAATTAGAATGTGTACCCCAGAAATAAAGTTCTTAAAGGGGAATATTACAGGAAGGAGGATTGTGTGAATTTATAAAAATCTTTTCTGCTTCTAAATTTGAGTATTCATAAATGAGAATGCATATCATTTATGATTATAAACCAAAAAACACTCCATACTATAATTTTAAAAATATGCCTGTTCCAATTTAAATCCTTTCATGTATTCGGCCCTTGTTGGTCTGGTCGATATATTAAGAGTATAACAAGTTCTTACCATACTGAAGACTGGTCAATATACAAACCTTCACCTGCCCAGGGGTGTCATTTCTTCTTCTCTCTTTTCCAATTTTACTATTTCTTTAATACTTTCCTTGTAACTACTCCCTCTTGTCAGCAACATAGTGATGTGAAGTTTTTCTAGCATGAAAACAAAGCAACTTCCTAACACCACTTCAATGCTTAGTGGTCAGAGGCAGCAAAAGGATGAATCGTTTCATAAATGGGCTTAATTCAATGGCAGATGCATTATATTTTTAAAAATGTTAGATCAGGACTCAGTAAAAGCTCTGATTTTAGTATAATGTAAAGGAGTGAGGAATATGGAATTTGATCCTTTGGGTGCCTCCCTTACATGTACAAGGGATGTTAGAATTTATTATATACTTCATGGAATGTTAACCCAAATACAACAGATTAGAGAGGGTAGAAGACAAATTGCTGAATTTCTCTAATAAAAACTGCCACTGATCTGTGGAACACTAACCCTAACACCAAGGAGAAGAGCATGTGTTGAGATGGGATGTTTCCCCTAACCCCTACCTATCAAAGAGGTACCATAGTTTGGATCTGGAACATCAGCCAAAGACATATGTGCTGAAGAAGGTTACATTCTCCAGTGTGTGGTACTTTTGGAAAGTGGTAGAACTTTAGTAGGAGGTGGGGCTTCATGAAAATTAGGCAACCAAAGGGATGTCCTTGAAGGGACCAAGTGTCTTTTCTCTTTGCTTCTCAGTCAGCATGAGGTAAAAGCTTCTCTACCATCTTGTACTCTTTTATGATATACTGAGCCACCAAGAGTCAAAGCAATAGAATCAGGTAAACATATGTCAAAACCTTGGAAACCATGAGTCAAAATAAACCTTTCTTCTTTATAAGTTGATTACCTTAGTACTTTTTCCTAGCGATGGAAAGCTGATTAACGCAAGAGTCCTCAGGGAAACTAAAGAATTTGAAAATGGACCCAGTCCTGAAATACCCAGATAGCTGTTGTCTGACTTGGGCCTGAAACTACACCCCACTGTAGAATGGGGGATAATTCCAAAAATGGCCGATCTGGTGGCTGAACTAGGAGAATGTAGCTTCACTGGGGTCAGCCTGTGCTCACAAAAGTTGCTATATACAATGATTTCGAATAGAGGATTTGGCCTACGTGAAGAGAATGGACAGCACTATTCTCAGAGTTTTTATATATCTTCTCCAACCAAGAGGGCTGCTAGGGAAGGATTAGAAGTCCTTAGCAGGAAGAAGCAAATCTCAAGTACGCCCTGGGGTTTACGGGGGAATTCTAAGTGATGAACAGATGCATTTCTACTTGCTTTAAGGAAAATATGGGTCAGAGAGATCTCTAGAGATGTGAACATACCTATATCATAGGTAAGCCAAGTTCATTTCATGATGGTACCCATTCACAATAAAACTCATTCTCTCTTGTTTTCGTAGGTAATAATACCCACCTTGCAGAAGTAAGTACTAATACTAGAAGAAGGTCACCATGTAATAAATTGTAAAGAGATGGTGGAATTTATAAATTTGACTTTGATTGCATCCCAGGTGTATGAGCTTCCTGCCTTATTATCCTGATAAAATACTTTGACAAAAGCAACTTAAGGAAAAAAGGGTTTATTTGGTTCACAATACCAAGTCACAGTCTATCCATCCCTGTGGGGAAGTCACAGCACCAGGACCTTCCATACACAGTCAAAGGCACAGAGCAATAGTTAAAGCATGCTAGTGCTCAGCTCTCTCCTTTTTCATTCAGTCCACATTCAGAATGGGTCTTCCCACCTCAACTAACCTATTAAAAACAATTCCTCATAGGATAGGCATGCTCACAGGCTAACCTAACCCAGATAGATAGTTCTTCATCCTAGTTACCCTACATTGTGCCAAGATGACAATCACAAGGAACCATCCAGGATATATTTGTTCAGTGCAGTGGGAAAATACGCGCTAAACACCCCTGGAGTCACGCAAGCATCCCAGGAATTATTTTCCTCGGCTTCAGCGCAAATTTATGGCAGTGTTTGTCTTGTTCACTTGAGAACATTACAAGCACCTACAATCTTATTCTGAGAATGTTCAGACTCAGCTTTACAGTCTGAAACCTTCACGAACTTCTCAGACATGCACCTATGTAAACATCACGTGATAACGCAGTATCCAGTGGAGCAACGACACAGCCTGGTGACCAACAAATGAAAACGTGACTGGGCCTGTTGGCATACTTTTAGTCCGAGCTAGGCGGTCCAAACTCTTGATCATTTCTCCTTGGACGCTGAGAACGGAACTTCATTTATGCAAGTGGAAACCCCTGGCCCGCTTGGGTCTCCAGAGCCACCCACCCTCAGCAGTGTCCACGCGGGTCTCCGGTGGAACACAGGCCGCCAGCGCAGCGCGGTGACGTCACGGCGTCTCGGGGCGCCCCGCCCCTAGGCGGTCCTCGCGTCCCGCCCCCGCAGGCCAGTCGGCAGGGGACGCTCGCGCGCCGGGTCTCCTTGGCAACTCGCCGCTCCGCCCCTCCACCCCTTTAACCTTTAGGCTGCGCGTTTCCGGGTCCCTCTCTGGCCTGGCTCCCCTCCCTTCCCCTCCCCCTCGAGGGCCTGTCGGACCGGAAGCCAAGATGGCGGCGGCCGCAGCCGAGCTGGTGATCGGCTGGTGCATCTTCGGCCTCTTGCTCCTGGTAGGGGAGGCGCTTGGAGTTCCCCCGGGGTGCGGAGGTGGGAGGAGCAGGGAGGTCCCTGCTCTCAGCTGGGTCCGCGGGGTTCCCCAGAGGAAGGTGGGGAGGCGTTGGCTCCCGGCGGTCTTGCTCCTTACACTCATAAGGTCTCCTCTGCAACTCCATCCCTGAGCCCTGACCAGAGGATGGGGCGGGTGGGATTGAGGACCCCTTGGGTGGAGAAGGGCGCAGGGGCTTTGATTGGCGTCCCCGGTGTGCGCGGTGCGCCACTTCTCTTCCAGTCTCCCAGGCGCTGACGTTGGTGACTGGTCTGTTTTTCTAAGTCATTTTTCTTGGGCTCCACCCTTGGGGTGAGTTAAGTCTCCAGCCTTCCCCCTGCCCATTATGCGATTCAGCCTTGATGACTTGAGTGGCACATTTCAGGTGTCACATCCCAGTCTTGCTAGGTGTAGAGGTGGGGCCGAGCTGTAGTCCTCCCAGACACGGTCTGGTTTACTACCACCCTCTGACCTCAGGTGCCTTTTCCATTCATCTCATTTCTGATTATTCCATGAACAAAACCCGTTAATGGCCCAGACTGGCCTGGCTACTACTTTGCTATCCAAAATAAAATGATACCATTTTGTTTTCTCATGGACTTCATCCCGTCCTGTTATCATCTAGCCCTGTTATTCAGTGTTTGTATGTTGAGACTTATTTGATTAGTTTATCAAAGTCCCTATACGGACACTTGTGTAGTATGTTTCACTAGTAAAGTTTTTCATCTGAAACTACACACACACACACACACACACACACACACACACAGAGAGCCCTTGCTTAACTTGCCTAGCATGTAGTAGGTCCTAAGTTCACTTCTCTTTGGGAAACGGAGGTTTCTCTTGCTGCCTTCACTTTCATAAATTCCGTCACACGGGAGACACTTTTTCCTCTAATGGGGAAACGAAACCGCAAAGGGTAGGATTGTGCTTTCCAGAGCTATCAATCCTGTACTGAGAGAATTCACTACCTTAGCCAGTCCATTGGACTCAGTTTATTTGGAGGACGTTATGCATGTAGCCAGTATTAAAATTAAAGTCTAGTGGGACTCTCTTGGCAGTGATTACAGGGCAGGCATTTAAAGCCCAGCAGCTTTACTGTAAACCGTAGGAGCATACAAACAAAATAGTACAGGACTTTTATAAAGGCCTGAAGATGAGGGGGAAGCTAGCATTCTTGAAATGTGCATTTTAAGCACTGAAAGACAAAATATGATTTTATAAATGAACTAAGATTTGGAAGACTTGAGGACAGTGTTGAAAGAGAATGCAAGTAGATTTTGGGTAGTTGAAGCTGGGAAACCAAGAAATCACATCAGGAACAACATGTAAAGGGAATCAAAGTATAGACGTGGAGTTCAAAAAATTAGTGATAAGGGCCATTGTTTAAAATGTATAAATCTATTTAATACCTGGCTTATTAGAAGAGAGCTGGACTCTCATGTCTTTTTCATTTACTCTTTTGAGTTGAAGTATATGAACAAAGTCTAGTTTCAGTGACCTGCAGTCAGAAGTCCAGGACTGTTTTTGGTAGTTGTGGATGTTCTTTGTTACTACACCAAAACTTAACAAGTGCAAGCCTCTAAAAGTTTTGTTGCAATCTGGAATCCAGAGCATTTTGTTCTGTTACATTCAAGTCGATTAGTCCAGCTTGTACTTTTACCCATACTTGGTTTTGTAATGTGATATGTATTGGCTATTTGGAAACTACTGTTTAACTGAATTATTCACATCTTCTAATCATGGATACATTGTATTACATAATAAAAATGTGGCATTCAGTAAATCACAGATTTTGTCAGAACTGTTCCTAAAAGTTCTAAGTACTGAAAAGTTGTCAAACTTTACAGTACTAGATTGCAAGATTTCCAAAATTCTTTCACTTGAAAACTTGAATTAAAAATTTTTTTGATTCATTGTCATTTTATATGTATGAATGTTTTGCTTATATACATACATATACACATTCATATATGTATAGGCATAACATTTGTACATATATTATATATATATATATATATATATATATACACACACATGTAAATACACCCATGTCATGCAGTGCCTGAGGGAGACTAGAATCACGTGATGGTCTCTGGAACAGGAGTGATGAACTGTTAGCCACCATGTAGGTGCTGGGAACTGAACCTGGGTCCTTTATAGGAGCAGTCAGAACTCTTAACCAGAGCCAGCTCTCCAGTCCTGAAAGCTTGAATTTTTAAATCACTTTATTTGTGTGTATGTATGTGCATGTGTCATGGTGTGGATGTGGAGGGCAGAGGACAACTTGAAGAAATCCGTTCTGTCCTATCATGTGGTCCCCAGGATTGAGCTCAGGTCATCCAGCTTTTGCTGGCTGAACCATTTCACTGGTCCAAAAGCTTGAATTTTATCACTAAACACAAATACTGTAGGTTTTTCTTAAAGTGATGATTTTTTTTAATTCATTTTATAAAATCTGTTAAAAACCTATGACTGAATCACTAGTTCTAGTAAGTTTTTTAAAGTCATTGCTTGAAAAGAATGAGTGGTCTTTCACCTCTTAAGGTTTGAGGTGCTTTGCCTGCTAATTCCTATCACACCTTGGTTTATAGAGGAAAGATTTTATGCATGCTTTATGTTTTACGGCACATGAGTCAAGGTTCAATCAAATGAGTTTTTACTTCTTCATCAAATGCAGTCTTGAGTTGGTTGGTTGATTTGATTTGATTTGATTCATGCATGGTGGTGAAGACGGCAGTGACTGGCACAGTTTGGTCCCATTGCTTTGAGTCATGATAATATAGCAGCAGTTTTACCCATTTATGGCTTATACACTATGAATGCAAATGTCAAGATTTTTTTTTTTAATGCCAGAAAGAAAAAAAACCCAACCCCCCATTATGAGAATAGTTTTCAATTTTTGAATCTCTAGAGCAAGTTCTAGGGACAAGCAGGGGACCGGGGACTTCCCACTTTGATAACTAATTCTATTCATGGGTGAAAGAATCAGAGAATTTATCTTCCTTTTTATATGATCATCAACCACTGCAATGGACCTCAGTTTCTTGTACCACATACAGAATGATTAGATTTGGTCCCCTATCTTCCTCTCTGTTCACCATACTAGACGTAAACTTTTCTGCTTAGCTCCCAAAGTCCTCAATAGCTTGGCTCACACCACCTTTCAGTTGCACTTTCCATTACACAGAGACAAACTCCTTATGAGTAAAGCAAGTTTACTCTCCTTCCTTGGGACTTGTTGGGAATACACAGTATATGGGCCCAGCCCCACTGAATTAGTCTGCTATCTAATATGATCCCAGGAACTATCTCTGCTTCTTAGTTTGATAAAAACTTTAGAATTTTCATTCCTTCCTATGCCCCATTGGTTCCCAACCTTGGCCACTCATTAAAACCATCAAGGGAGTTTTTAAAACCCCAGTGCCCAGACCAATTAAGTCAGAATTGCTGGGGAGGAGTTGGGGAGCTATTTAAAATCCTTTCCTCAATTTTTAATAATAGCTTTTTGAAAAAGTAAAATGCTCTAAGGTGTTATTTTATATGGCAGCAGCAATACTATTTGTTGAACTGTTTCTATGGCTAAGAACTGTCATAAACTACATCTTATTTAGTCCTAATTTTTAATCCTAATTAACCTAGGAACCTTTTTATTCCCATTTTACAGATTCTTGGTTTGTTTTCTGATACAATTTCTATTGTCAGCTGTAGTATAACCTACAGAAAAAGGCCCTTAAAACTGTGGAGGGATTCTGAAACCCAAAGTCAACCTCTGGCCTGAGGATTCTGCCTGGTTGCTTTTTAAGTTGTCTGCTTGATGTTGGAACATGCCTTTTTTTTTGTGATAATACCTTTCACTTTTAATGTTTTTTAAAAGTGCAGATCTTTTAGTTTTGAAATCTAACATGATGTATTGAACATTGTGTCAAGTACTACCAGGTGTACAATGATAATGGGCTCAGATTCTGAAGAGTTCAAAATAAATTTGAGCAATGTTTAGAATAATTTTGAATTCTTTTAAAAACAACCATTACATGTTAATACAACATTTTATGGAAAATAATTTTCTGAACAATAACAGAAAAATGGTAAGCATTTAAACCAGAATTTGAGGCTAGGTCTTTTTTTGTTACATTGATTTATTTATTATTTTTTCATTTTATTTTGTTCCAATATCTAGCTTCCAAAATCTTGTGTCTTTTAATTTTTTCCTGCTTTCTGTCACCAGTTGAAATGACAGCAGTAAGTAGGAATAACAATACAACTTCAGTGGATTTCAAATCCATTAAGCCAAGTGAAAGAAGCCAGATGCTATTTGAGAACATAATTGCAGTCTAGAAGTGACAGAAACTAGGGACAGATAACAAATAGTGGTTGTTAGGGGTTAAGGGAGAAGAGGTGGAGTGGTTCTCTACAATGTAACAAATGGAAATTTTCCAGTGATTGGAACTGTGCTTATCTTTATTGTGGTAGTACTTGGATGCTTTAGAACTGGTATCCAGACTTCTGAAGAGGATTGCCTAAAAAGGAAGTAAAAGGTGAATTTTAATAGGGAAAGAACAAAGTAAGATTTTTGTCTCTGAGCTCTGACAGACCTTATTTAGAACACTGGTTCTCACAGTTGGCCCAGATTGGAATCCTCAGGCATTTAAAGCACTGATGCCTGGAGGAGCCTTGCTAATTGATTGAGTTGTTGTGGAGTAGGGAAGGCGTAAAAGTATTTAAAAACCACACAGATGAGTCTCCCAGTCAAGGCTGAGAACCTATGATTTAGTATGTGTCTGCAACTCCCCATCACTGAGTAGAGGATTTTTAAATGCAGTCCTTGCAACAGTAGACACCTTATCTGGGAATTCATTAAAAATGAAGATAATTCAGGCTCCATCCTGGACCTCTTAAATCTGAAATCCTGTGATCTAGATTCTTCCTGATGTATAAAGTGCTTGTCCTGTGTGGTGTGTTAGTCACAGAAAAGCCTTCATAGTGCCTCTTGGCCAGAGATGCCAACTTCATTACCTCTGGGCATACTTTTTACTGGAAAACTTGTTATTCATGTGAATCCATTTTCAGTGTTGACTTTTCTTTGTTTAATACCCTTTAACATTTGAATTCTAGTGGTTGTATGGTGATTATTAGTATTAACCTCTAGGTCAGTGTTACCTGTGAGCTGTCATAGCAGGGCAGAGGTTAATTTCCATCCAACTTATAGTCTATGATGCTGTAGGAATAAGACTAGAAAAGAACAACCTCTACTTAGTTTCCTTTAGATTGGAGAGGTATGGGGAGGATTCAAAGCTCTGACATTGTGTGTAGTCATTAATGTGTTGGGTGAGGGCATATGTAACTGATAGCTTATTAATGTGTGTACACTTACAGTTGTACTGCCTTCATAAATAGGCTTTAAAAATTCTGTCATGGGCAAATCAATAGGGGGTGTAAGTAAGTTTTCCTTTCATGTGTCAAAGAACCTTTGCCTGACATAAACTGCAAACATCTGCCAGAGTCAGCGTTCAAGAAGATACACAGCAATAACAAGTATTTCTTTTTGTTCTATTTCAGGCTATTTTGGCATTTTGCTGGATATATGTTCGTAAATACCAAAGTCAGCGAGAAAGTGAAGTTGTCTCCACCATAACAGCAATTTTTTCACTAGCAATTGCACTTATCACGTCAGCACTTCTCCCAGTGGATATATTTTTGGTTTCTTACATGAAAAATCAAAATGGAACATTTAAGGTAAGTGTTATCATATTACATAATGAGTTTTCCTTTCAAATTCTTAGCAATTGTTTCATTTTAGCAGTCCAGTGTAATTTTTGTCCCCCACCCCCACCCCCATTCTCTGTGTGGTACATGTACGAGTGAGTGTGGAGATGTGTGTGCCTATGGGAACACATTTGGAGGTCAGAGGAGAACATCCAGGTGTCTTCTGCTTTTGTTTCTTTCCTTATTTGTTTTGAGAAGGGTCTTTCACTGAACCCGAAGTTTAGCTAGGCTTGCTAGAGAGCACCCAGTATCTGCCTGTCTCTGTCCCCCATTGCCGGGGTCACAGGCACTTGTGCATGCCCAGTTTTTATGTGGGTACTAGATTTGAACTCAGGTCCTGTTGATTTCACAGTGAGCCACCTCCCCAGTCCTGATTTTTATTGATTTATTTGTGGTGTTTGTGTGTGTGTGTGTGTGTGTGCGCGTGTGTGTGTGTGAATAAATAGGTATAGAATGAAGCACGTAGACTGAGAATACAACTTGGTAGACTAGGCTGTTACATAATAGGAGAATCATCAACAATCCAGTAAAGAACAGGAGTCATTTTGGTAGTCAGAAAATACTTAGTCACAATAGGTTTTACCTTTCATTTCTCATAATTCCTTAGAACATTTTATTTAATTTCTAGATCCATTCATTTACCTGCAGATTTCATTTTTCATCTTTCTTTACTGCTGAATAGAACTCCATTGTATAAACATACCACATTTTAGTTAACTACTTGTCAGTTGAGGGACACTTAGGTTGCTTCCATCTCTTAGCGGCTGTGAAAAGAGCAGCAACAAACATGGTTGCACAAGTGCCTCTAAAATAGGATGAGTCCTTTGGGTATATGCAAAGGAGTGGTATAACCAGGTCATATGGTAGGTTCATTTGTAGTTTTTTACGAGTTCTCCACACTGTTTTCCATAGAGACTGCATGAGTTTGCAATCCCACAAGCAGTGAATGAGCATTCCTCTTTCTCTACATCCTTGGCAGCATTTGGTATCATTTGTTCTCTTGATCCTAGCTGTCTGATTAGGGTCATTTTAATTTGCATTTCCCTAATTACTAATGATGTAGAACACTTTTTGATATGTTTCTTAGCCATCTTATTTCTTCCTTTGAGAACTCTCTGTTTTGCTCTTTATTTAGCCCATCTTTTAATTGGGTTATTTGCTTTCTCACTTCTTTGTTTTCTGAGTTCTTTATATATTCTGAATGTTAAACCTCTGTCAGATGCATCACTGGTGAAAATTTTTTCCCATACTGTATTTTTTTTTCTTCACTTTTTTGATTGTTTCTTTTGCTGTATAGAAGCTTTTCTTGTTGATTGCCGACCTTAATTCCTGAGCAACTTCTGTCTGATTTAGAAAATCCTTTCCTACACCTATATCGTGTAAGTTACTGCCAATATTTTCTTCTAATAATTTCAGACTTCCCAGTTTCACATTGAGGTCTTTGATCCATTTGGAGTTGACTTTTGTACAAGGGGAAAGAAAAGGATCTAGTTTCAGTCTTCTATAGGTGGAGATCCAGTTTTGCCAGCACCATTTGTTGAAAATGCTGTCTTTCCTCCATTGTGTGTTCTTGGCACCTTTGTCAAATATCAGGTAGCTGAAATTGCGTGTACTCGGGTTTGGGTCTTCAGTGATGTTCCACTGATCTGTGTGTCTATTTTTGTGCCAGTACCATGCTGTTTTTATGACTATAGCTCTGTAATATACTTTGAGATTTGGTATAGTAATCGCCCCAGCATTGATCCTTGTGCTCAGGCTTGCTTTGGTTATCTGGGGTCTTTTGTGCTTCCATATCAATTTAAGGATTCATTTTTCTAATTCTGTGAAGTGTGTCATGGGGATTTAGATTGGGATTGCATTGAATCTATATATTGCTTTTGGTAGGATGGTCATTTTCATAATATTAATTATTCTAATCCATGAGCATGGGAGGTCCTTCCATCTCCTGGTGTCTTCCTTAGTCTCTTTCTTTAATGATTTAAAATTTTCATTGTAGAGATCTTTGGTGTCCTTGGTCAGATTTATTACAAGATTTTTATTTTTAGTTTTGCAGCAATTGTGAATGGGAGCATTTCCCTGTATTCTTTCTCCAGTTAGTTGTTATTGGTATATAGAAAGGTATTGGTTTCTGTAGATTGATTTTATAACCTGCCACTATACTGAAAGTGTTGATCAGTTCTAGGAGTTTTCTGGTGGAACTTTTGGGATCTCTGAGGTATAGTATCACATCATCTGCAAAAAGTGATAGTTTGACCTCTTCTTTTCCAGTTAGTACTCCTTTAATTTCCTTCTCCTGTCTTATTGCTCTAGCAAGAGTTTCAAGCACTATGTTGAAAAGGTGTGCAGATAGTGGAAATCCGTATCTGGTTCCTGATTTTAATGGGAATGCTTCCGGTTTTTCTCCATTTACAGTGATGTTGGCTGTGGGGTTTGTTACATGTTGCTTTAATTATGTTGAGGTTTATTCCCTCCAGTCCAATCCCCTCTAGGACTTTGAACATAAATGCATGCTGACTTTTGTCAAAAGCCTTTTCTACATCTATTGAGATAACAATGTGGTTTTTGTCTTTGCATCCATTTATATGATTAATGATGGTTATTGACTTGCATATATTGAATCATCCCTGCATCTCTGGAATAAAGCCTACTCGATCATGGTGAATGATCTTTTTGGTATACATCTGTATGTGGTTTGCAAGTATTTTGTTGAGATTTTTTGCATCTATGTTCATTGAGGGTATGGGTCTATAGTTTTCTTTTATGGTTGTGTCTTTACTTGGTTTGGGTATTAGAGTGATACTGGCTTCATAGAAGGAATTTGGGAGTTCTCTCTCGGTTTCTATTGTTTTGAATAATTTAAAAAGTACTGGTTGGAGGTCTTCTTTAAATGTCTGGTAGAATTCTGCTGTAAATCCATCTGGGCCTGGGCTTTTTTTTTTTTATTTGAGAGGCTTTGTATTACTGTTTCAATTTCCTTATATGTTATGGGTCTGTTTAAACTGTTGACCTCTTCTTGGTTTAACTCTGGTGGTTCCAGTGATTTCAGATATCCATCCATTTCTTTTGGATATTCAAATTTAGTAGAGTATAGGCTTTTAAAATATTCCCTTATAATGGTCTGGACCTTTTGGGTGTCTGTTGTGATGTTTCCCCTTTCATCTCTGATTTTGTTGATTTGGATTTGCTCTTTCTTTTGTTTAACTGGGCTAGAGATCTGTCTATCTTTAGCTTTACAAAGAACTGGCTCTTAGATTCATTGATTCTATTGTTTTCTTTGTTTCTGTTTCATTAATTTTTGCTCTGATATTTGTTATTTCTTCTCTTCTGCTGGGTTTGGGTTTCATTCATTCTTGCCTTTCCAGTGTCTTCAGTTGTAGAGTTAGGTCATTTATTTGGGCTCTCTTTAATTTTTTAATGTAGGCATTTAGAGCTATAAACTTCCCTCTTAGGACTGCTTCTAAAGTGTCACAGAGGTTATGTTCTGTTGTATTGTCCTTTTTGTTGAATTCCAGGAATTCTTTTATTTCTTTCTTAATTATATAAATGCTGCAAATAAACAATTTCCAAGTGCTTTATTGGGAAATCAGCCCTGCATAGATTATAATAGTGTAGAGTGGAGGCTACTGGGCTGGGAATTACAAGACCTGAATTCTAGACCTGAGTCAGCTGTCCAGCTGCATGACTTGAGCCAGGTTGCTTAACTTTTCTGTACTGTACGTTCCTCATTTTAAAAAGGAAGGGTGTAGATTAGATAATTTTCAAGGTCTTTTTCAGTTATGCAAATTACTTTTGTTTCTTCCGTTCTTAAACTTCTGTGAACTGGTGGCTGTACTGTTTCCTTGTTGTATCTTCAGTGTCTGGCACGTGGTAGTTACTTGAATAGAGTATTAGTATTTCAATTTCAATAATGTGTAATAGTTTAATAACTTCCTGATTTGGACCAGATAACTTCAATAATTTCATAATATTTTTGTGAAAATTAGGTTTAGACATATTCTGATTGTTGTAGAAGATATAGTTTCTTTTCTCTTTTTTCTACAGGACAGTCTACCATTTAGTATTAATTGAGCACTTAGTATGTACCTAACAGTATAGTGTTGTGAGGATGATAACTAGCACCTATTATTTACTATGTGTCAGTCTATATTGTACATAGTTTGTACATTTGGCTTCTCTTTGATCTCTCATCCAGTCCTATGAGGTAGTTAGCATAAAAAGCAAAGGTTGAGCTTGGAAATAGCATTGTGGGAATCTGAAGCACTGCCACCTGGCTCCACAGCTCTCTTTTCATTTGGTTTTGTTTTCTTGCTGGGGAAGATGGCCTTTTAAGAAACATAAGATACAGTCAAGCAGCCTAGTAAATAGGATGTCTATCAGTGAGCCTGCATTTATTTTTTCATTCAAACTAAATTTACGTTTTTGTTTTTCACTGAAATATTTTAGAGAAAGTGACTGTTGTTAGTGGTATCATTAAATTTTCTGCTTTTTAATATCAGGCAAGAAGGAATATGCCTTTAATTATTTTAGAAGCAGGTAACTGTATTAGTTACTTTTCTGTTACTGTGATAAAACACTGTGACCAAGGCAACTTGTGAAAGAAAGAGTTTCTTTGGGCAAATGGTTCCAGAGGTATCAGTCCGTCATGGTGGAGAGACACAGTGGAAGGGGAAAGGAAGCATGGCGACAGACACCAAAGCTGAGAACTCACATCTCCAGAAGCAGTCAGGTAGCAGAGAGAGCAAAAGTACATGTGGACAAGGTTGTACACTCTCAAAACCTGCCCCCAGGGACATGGTTCCTCCTAAAGGTTCCATGACCCTCCCCAAACAGTTCTACCTACTGACCAAGTGTTCAGATACTCAAGCCTGTGGGGGACACTTCTCTCAAACCACCATAGTGATTAAGTAAATGATTGATCTTAGCATTATAAAGTTATTTCCTTTAACAAAAATGTTATTTTGAAACTCAAT